TCAAGGGTTTAGGCATTGTAAGAACTATGAAGAAGAGGAGAAGTGAAGATGATAGACAGAGAGTCACAGAGACTGGACAACGGACTGTATACCTTCTTGAACTAATTTATTTTTTTTTTTTCTGGGAGCTATTTTTTTCTAGAACTATTTGAACACCTTAAATAAATAACGTTTTAAATTAATGTAGTAATTCAGGCATTGCTCATGTCTAAACACTACTTTTATATTACAAATTTACGAAAATACGAGTAACCGAGTACCAATATTGATGAGGTCTTGGTCTATTGACAAAAAGTGAGAGCCGATTGCACGTTCAAATCCTTTATCCCCATTTGTAATTTGACAGTTTGTAATGCCCTTGTATCTTATGAAAAAAAAAAAAAAAAAACGTTTATCATCTATATATAGATATATATTTTTTCTTTTGAATGGAATAGGGAGGGGTGATTTCATTAACTAATACAAAGTAATAACCATTCGGCACTTACAATCATCCCTTAAGAGATCTAAAGTCTCAATACAAGTATTTAACACCTCTAAACTAATGGCATCGCTTCTGCACTGCTCTGAATAATTTGAACTCTAAAACAAAATAACTAAGTACTACTCTCCGGAATCCATCTAGGATGCGTAACACCCCGCAAGTCCTCCAATAAAACGGTTCGAAGATCCACTGGGACCGCCTCAAAAAGAACCAATTTCTGTTCCGAGATAACACCATAATTGGCTAACCAATTGGCCGCCCTATTAGGTTCTCTGTAACAGTGTCGATAGTAACTCTCCACCCCTCTCTTACGATCAAGGCTTTGCACTTTCGGATTAGATGAATAAAAGGAGAGTTGGAGGGAGTAAAATCCACCAACAAACAAACTACAACGAACTTCCGAGTCCACTCTTACTTGTACTTTTCGATGTCCACTATTCCAAGCTATTGCTAACCCTCGGAGAACAGCTAGCAACTCTGCCCGAGTACAAGTACACAACCCACAATTTAAAGCAAAAAATTCATGAACCTCATCTCTGTGGTCATGAATTAAACCACCCCCTCAAGCTGCTCCGAGGTTACCTTTAGCAGCACCATCTGTGTTTAAGCACACCCATCCAGGAGGGGGGGGGGGGGGTCTCCCATCTAATATAGACTTCTTCACGCTTCCTCTTATTCATTCTTGCACCCAGCCCTTTGTCAAAAGCTCTTCTAATTTCTCCAACTCTTGCCAATATGAAATTGACTTGGTCTAGTGGCATCTCCACCTCTCGAGAGAAACTCCTTTCGTTTCTCATCTCCACAACCACCAGCAAGAAACAGCAAAGACAGTAGGCTAATCTTCTCGTGCTTGTTCTCTGTTCGAGTTCAAATTATGCATCAGCCATGTCTTGAAATCAAAGTGCCCCTGTTGTCCATTCAAATTCATACACAGTTTGTGCCAAATTACCCTAGCTACTGGGCAGAAGAGTAGTATATGATGTTTTCCTCCACATGACCACACATAAGGCATCGTGGGTTGTGAGTGAGGTGCCTCAAAAACCAAGTAGCATTGGTCATAAGTTTTTCTTGGTAAGCTAACCAAAAGAAAAATCTTATTCTTTGAGGTACTTGAATCTTCTAGATCACCTTCTAATTCTTGCTATCTTGATCCCTCTCCACTTCCGGCTCATCATTTCTTATGATATGCATAGCAGATTTCAGAGTAAATCTACCAGAAGGAGACCAATTCCAATACACAGCATCGATCGAATCGTCATCCTCGATCAATTTGTATGCTTGCATTTCTTTAAGGATATCAGTCGGAAGAAAATTTGCAAATAGCTCTAGTTTCCACCCTCGGTTTATATTTCACATATCTTAAACATTACAATGATGGACATCAAAAGGAGGGTCCGAGGTAACCAAATCAATCAGAGGTTTAGGATTAACCCAACTATGAAGCCAAAACTTTGTAGCCTTCCCATTCCCAATCGCCATTCGAATGCCTTTCTTCAAAACATCAACATTTTCGAGAATTCCCTTCCAAGCATTCGACGCATCCACCTTTGGTGTAAACATATCGAAATCGCACCTACCTCCACAATATTTATTCCTAAGAACCCTCGTCCAAAGAGTGTTAGGTTCCGTTAATACTCTCCATCCAAGCTTTGACAAAAATGCAGCATTAGCTTGTCTCATCGATCTCAAACCCAATCCTCCTTCACCTTTCGATTTGGTAACTTTGTTCCACAAAACAAGATGAATTTTATTTTTCTCTTCTGTGCTTCCACAAATAAAGGCTCTGACTTTTTTTATCCACTTCATCACATATCCTTTTAGGGGCTTTTGCTGACTACAGGGTGTAATAGGGGATGGTAGATAGTGATGTTTGCGCCAAAGTTGTTCTCCCAGCAAGTGACAAGTTTTTTGCTTGCCAACCACTAAGTTTCTTCTCGACTTTTTCTACCAAAAATTGGTAATTGGCTTTAGTAACACGCCCATTAATAGTAGGCACCCCGAGGTACTTACCAAAGTCCTCTGTGCTTTCCATCCTCAAATTCGAGCACACCTCATCAGGAACATTAAAAAAAAAGTACACTCTAGATTTTTCCACACTAACCTTACTCCCCGAAGCACCACAAAATTGATCTAAGCACTTCTTCATTAAAGTAGTCTGGTCTTTGCTAGCTTCACAGAATAGGATCAAGCCGTCCGCAAACGCAAGATTAGTAATTGGTGGCCCTACTATACTTGCCCTTGCTAGCCTCCATTCACCCAATCGAAGCTCTCGATCAATAATGTGAGCCAATCGTTCCATACATATAACATATATGTAAGGTGATAATGGATCACCTTGGCGAATTACACGAGACGGTTCAAACTTTTTAGTTGGTTCCACGTTCCAAAGTATGCTAAGCTTTGCCGAATTGATACATAAAATAACCAATTCAATCATATGCTGCGGCAGCCTTAGTTCAAGCCCAAAGATTCGCGGATAAACTCCAACGAAGCCTGTCATAAGCCTTCTTAAAATCTATTTTAACGGCCATATAACCCACTTTTCCTTGCTTTCGATGCATGGAATGCAACATCTCCTCGACAATAACCACATTGTCTGTAATTTGACGCTTGGGAACAAAGCTACATTAATTTGGGGAAATAAGTGAAGGCAAGAGCGGTTTCAAGCGATTAACAATCACCTTGGTCACAATCTTGTAAGTGATATTACATAGGCCGATTGGGCGGAATTGATCAGCAGATTGCGGCACCTCTGTCTTTGGGATGAGAACCAAATATGCGTCATTAAATCCCTCCGGAAAATGCTTACCCTGTAAAATGTCCATCACCATTTCAATAACACTAGGGTGAAAATCCATTAGATTCCAATAGTGCTGGTAAAACAATTGTTGAAATCCATCAGGCCCTGACTCCTTAAATGGATTCATACTAAACACCGCAGCTTGGACCTCACAATGAGAAAATGGGCGCATGATTGTTTTCCACTCTGAATTTGTAATTTTGGGAAAATAGTCCTGCAGCAGCCTCACATTCACCCTTCGATCAGAAATTTCTTCAGAGAATAAATTCTTCCAGTAATCCATGACCAGTTGCTTAACTTGAGTTGCATCTGTAATCCACTCCCCTGACTCATCTTTAAGAGTTTCAATACGATTGTACTTTATTCTGATTGTTGTCAAAAGGTGAAAAAATCTTGTGTTACGGTCCTCGTCACAAATTGCTTCTGCTCGAGACTTTTGAAACCACAACATTTCTTCTTGTTCTAGCACCTTATTCATCTCTTCTTTGAGCTTAATCGCCGGTTTAATCAGATGTTTTGGCCCACCTGCAGACAGAGATTTTTTTAATGCCCTATAGCCTTGCCCATAGCTCTGCTTTTTTCCTAAAAATATTATGAAACACTGTTTTATTCCACTCATTCAACTTGCTAGCAAAAACTGGAAGAAACGGAATAAGTGGCTCTAAATTACTCCAGTTTGAGGCAACAAAATCATCGAACTTTTCATGGTGCATCCAAGCGGCTTGAAATCTAAACGGTTTCAAGGCTGTGGGGAGAGGAGCAAAACCTGTAGTACTAATCAAAATTGGGCAGTGGTCGGACATACAATGAGGTAAATTTTTCATCGCTCCCTCCGCAAACTTTAATCTCCAATCTTCGTTTGCCAACCCCCTATCGAGCCGAGCAGACTTGAAGGTATCTTGAGATAGGCCCCTACTCCAAGTGTGATTAGGACCCGAGCTGTGGAGATTAGAGAGTAAAGGTTTGGAAAGATCAACTTTGATGCTGAATCTAACAAATTGGCCCCTACTCATGGCTTATGTATGTTTATCAATACTTATGAGACTTCCAATTTTCGATCCAATTCTGTGAAGAAATTTTTTATCAAAATACTCCACTGAGAGTTGTGGAATTCGCATCCACGCAGTCAAGAATTTGATTGGTGTATCATCAGCGACAAAATTTGGCACCCATTTCCGCATCGTAAGATAGCTATCTCCAATAATCCATGGTCCTTGAGTTAGGACGAAATTATAATCTTCCATAGTAGTGAATCGAACTATATAATACGCACACACAACGTTTGTCAACGTGATATCCCTTTTAATCTCCATTTAGGACCCTTCATTTTACCTTAAAAAAAATGAATTATACAGTACAAAATACTATGTATTCCACTTAACCTCAAGACAGCAGGGTACCTTAGAAAATTCCCCTACAATTATTTGTGAAATAAGGAAACAAGTCACCCTTTATGGAAAAAAAATCACCTCAATCATTTTCAATAAACTATAATGAGATCAATTGGTACACACAAAATTATGCCTCATTTAAAATATTGATCTTTGCCTAATATTACTAATTACTTTCCTAAACGAAACAATGGCTAGAAAGTTTATATTGCATAAATTTGGAATTTTTTATTCAATCTTCCCAATTATTATGTTCCTTATATAATTGATACTCCATATCATAAATTTCATTGTATGAAAAAAATTACTCCGTATTGAAATAAACATGGTAGGCAGACTTCGGAATAATAATTTATGGGTTTTAATGAGAATTATAGTGGTTTTTTTAGCTTTCATTTCGAAATTTGTTGATTGTTCTAGTGTTGAAGGTAGGAAAGAGATTATTTTGTCCAAGGAAGAAGATTTAGCGCTTGAAACACGTCTTAAGACCTTGAACAAACCACCCATCATAAGTTTTCAGGTACTTTTTTTTTTTTTTTTTTTTGTGGGAATATTAATTACGAGTATTGATTTATTTGAAATCAAATCTTGGTGTTTTTTTTATTTCGGAGGGAGGATGAGTAATACTCCGTAGTTTTAAACTCTTATAACTTTATAAGTAAACTATCTTTAGCTTCTTGATGTAATTGGTTTTATTGATTTTTTCGAGAAATTTCATGTAGGATTTATTTAGGATTGACTTATTAACTAAAAATTAGTTTTCATATGATTTAGTCGTCTGGTGGGTAAGAAAATGCGTTTGTCAAAAAATTGACAATATTAATTTTCTCAATTTTGTTTTCAATTATGTGATATTCTTGGGGAAATATTCAAGGACTGTTGATTTTTTTTTATCCATAGCAAACATATTTACATATTGCTCTTTTAGTTCATAAAATATTGATGATTATAAATTTTATGTTGGGTGTCACATTATATGTTTGTTATCTTTGTTTGACCATAATTTAACATCACCCATTGCAATTTATTTTTAGGAACATTGTAATTAATTTAGACTACGTATCTTTTAGTAAGGATATTAGCTAACCTAGTAACCTTCATGAGTTGTTACTAGTTCTTGTACTATGTATAAAAAAAATGCATAATTTGCATCAAAAAAATAAAGAAAAATGCAAATAATTTGTATTTACAATAGTGTCCAGTCAAACATTTCAAATTGACCTTAAAATTAAAGTGTAACCATCTTTTGGAATATTATTGAAATTTTTAACCTTCATCAATGGAAATTATTCTCCACTTTGTATTACTGTAATATATAGGTCTTTATATTTTATAGGGTAATGATATCTGTAACCCTTAGGGCTAAGGTTGTCACATTGGATCGGTGAGAGGAGTAAGATCGAATCGATAAAATCGGATTGTAGAATCATAAGATCCTATGAAATTGATTAAAGGAGTAATAAAAAGGTTGCTACATAACTAGATAACATTTTTTATGCCATAAAAATGCTAAAATTTATAGTTTTAGTAGTTGGATAGTAATTTTCTTAGCTTAGAGAAAAGTTTGATTACTTTAGGCTCATTTTAATAAGTAAAAAGTGACCGATCCTACCCGAATCTGACCGATCATACACGATTTTGTCCGATCTCATACAATCCAATAATAATTTAAGTGAAAAACACGATCCTACACAATCCTACCCGATCCCGTACGATCCTGCTTGCTATGCGACTCTGCATCCAATCCGAATTGTTTGGCTAAAATGGGATTGTAGGATCGCATAATCCTACGACCCGGATCGCGATTTTGACAACAATGCTTAGAGCTAATAGCTATATATAAGCATTAAATATACTTTCTAAAATAGAATTAAGTTAGAAATTCATGACCAAATCACGCGCAAATCGGTGATTTAATGAGCTTAAATAAATATGTTCGTACTAGGAAAATTCCAAGTCAATTTTATGAGTACTTGCATTTAACATCATATTTGTACTTTTCAATCTTCGTGTAGAAAGACGATGGAAGCATTATCGACTGCATTGATATATACAAACAACCCGCATTTGATCATCCAAAGCTCAAAAATCACAGGCTTCAGGTACATATTAATACTACTATTTCCATTTTATATTTTTTGTAACTTTGGGGTATTATTTGTGAGATATAAAATATTTTTAAGTTGCAAAAAAATATGAAACGAAGGTAGTCATTCGTTAATTAATAATTCACCTTCTAATTCCTCCTAATATCGATCCATTTGTTAAGTAATAACTCACGTTATTTTATTCTTTTTAATAATAACCCTACAGATGAAACCTAGTTCATTACTGCTGGAAAAGCTAGGAATGTCACTTGATCAAGAACATAAATTACCGTCGAAAGTCCTTCAATGTCCTTCAGGAACGGTACCTATTCGAAGAACACGAAAGGAGGATTTGGTCACGGCAAATGCGGTTTTAAGCCATTATCGTACAATGACCGGAGGACCACCATTTACTCCTTCACAAGGAAATCATGTATGTTAATTTTGTTTAATTGAATGTTTCGTCGAAAAAATAAATTATGTACGCACGTAGAAATAATTTTGGACTTGTATTTGTGTATATAGTATGCAGGAGCAGGGACTCCAAATCAAACGTCGGAAAAATACCTAGGAGCAAGGGCTGCAATAGCTCTTTATAATTTGACAATCGCGATTCCTGCTCAAACCAGTGCATCTTCCTTGCGAATTGGTAGTGGTGTTGACGGTCCATTCAACAGTATCGAGTATGGATACACTGTAAGTCATCATTTCACTCCTACAATAGAGTATTACTCCAAGGTAAATAAAAATGTAATGAAATTTAATCTTAAGTCTGCATTGAGTTACACGCGTCTCTCTAGAATTAATTGACTAAGCTAGTTTTAAGACATTACAATACATGATTTCATAGAAATCCCATAGTAGCTAATATAATACTCTGTACATTTATATGTACATGACTTTAATTCTAGATATTCTTATATTGATTTTCAACAGTTCAACCAACAATTATATGGAGATAGAAAAGCGCGAACTTTTAATTTGTGGACGGTAAGCTACTTACATTATCTTAGCTTGTTACGAGTATTTGTTTTAAATTTTCCGATTTAATATTGTGTGATACAATTATATCCTAGATTTCTAGTACATCCCCTCATTTAATTCATATCAACCTATAGGGAATTATATATTATATTCTTTATAATTTTTTTGTATTATTCAGGCTGATGGGTTCAGTAAGACAGGATGCTTTAACATGCTTTGCCCCGGATTTGTTCAAGTAAACCAACTCCGTCATATGGGAGATGAACTTACCTATTTTTCGGAGTATGATAAAAACAAGACATTTATGTTGTTAGGAATTATCAAGGTACGCCTCAACAAATACACAAATTGGCTGTTTAGTTTACGTGAATAATAATTAATGTATGACAATTATAACTCAAAATGGATTAAAAATTGAATACCAAATAAGGCCGTTATTGGTAATTATGCCATGTTAGCAAATAGCTTGTGTAACTGTGTAAGTACGTACCACTTATGAAACATTTAGAAAGTTGTAACAAAATACACCACTATAATTTGACAGGACTAATTCAAATTGCTAATCTAGGTATATATCATTCATAATATATACACGTACATTGGTATAACATGACATTAAATTGGATTGTTGTTGATAGGACCCAAAAACACAAAATTGGTGGATAGTAGAGAGCCTTCCACAAGCAACAAATCAATATATAGGATATTGGCCAAAGGAGTTGTTGCCAGAAATGAGTGAATTTGCAACAAATGTTCAAGTTGGTGGGAAGGTGTATAATCCTTCAATTGAGCCTTCAAAAACTCCCATGGGTTCAGGCCATTTCGTGGCGGACGACTTACTCAAAACATGCGAAGCTATAGTCCATGTTGTTAATTCAACCTATGGTCTCATCCCTGATGAATCTCTTAAAATGGATGTTTTCGCGAATGCACCTGATCTTTACAATGCTCAATTTTTAGATGGTGCCGAAGTTCTCTTTGGAGGACCTGATTTTACGATATAAGAGTGTTTTTATTGTACGAGAAATTATTGGATGGTCCAAGAAAGCCTTAAATTATGCATTCTAAGATACTACTTCCTACAGTAGCTTGGAATAATATTGTTCCTAGCTGTAATAATCAAGATCATTACTAGCTGATATTGTGCTATCATATATATTATATAAGCTAATTATCTTCCAAAAATATATTATTGTTGATATTTCTGTGAGTTGGAAGGCCTTGTTATTAGTTGTTACTCCATAGTCCATACATATCGAAGCTAGGACCAATTTTTATAACCTTTGGCGTTTAGGGTATGGTGTGAGCCATACTCACCCAACTACCCCCGACCCCTTGGATTTCTAGTCATTATACCTTGTGTACTTGAGGTATGGGTATAGAAATTGAAATTCTCCCTAACCAACATTAAATATCAGTTTAACCTATTCTAAACGTATATCTCATACTTAAAATCTATGAACCAAACGCTCTTAATTTTTTTGGTCCGAATGAACTAAAAAGGTGATTTAAATTACAAGTGGGGATAAATAGGGGTGGGGGATTGAACATGTGATCTATCACAAACTTTTAGTCTTGACCAACTTGGTCAACACCTCAACAAGACAACGATATTTTTCCACCCCTTAGAGCCTGCTTGAATTGAGGAAAATGTATTACTAGGGTAATAAAAGTCAAAATAAGCAAAATGAAAGTAAATAGGGAAGGAGGAGATAGTGATGGTGTGCTTGTAAGAAAAAATATATAGTGATGGTGAGGTATGAGGTGAAGAAAGAGGAACTAATTCCTTTATTTTTGGGCTAATAGTTACACTAGGGGGAGGGTGGGTAACTATTACCCTCATTATGAGGATAATAATTCCTTCATCTCTCTCTTTACCTCATGACACAACCACGTTGTTTCGGGTGAAAACAATAGGTCCTTCGTCTGGACCTTTTCTTGTGGGCTGGAGACTAGACTCGACTCAAGTGATGACTGGGACGAGGGTTTCCTGCATAGCAAACACACGTAAATTGGCCTCGGGGATTGTGCCGAGGAAAGCCCCCTCCGATGCCGTAGTCAGTACAGTGTTTCTAGAGAGAAAAAGTTATGCAACAGTATTAATTACTTGAGGCTTAAATGTGAATGAATGTAAAGAGAGGAGGGTGAAGGCTTTTTATACCTTGCTCAATAGATAAATGGGCCTTGAGGTCAAATGAGCTTATCATGTTAACTGGGCTCATAACTGACTTGACATGTATTTGGAGAGTTGAACCTTGCTTTGGGATTTGTAATTGAATCATTTGTGGACCGACCCAATTGAAGTAAATTGGACCCAAACACACGTTATTCCATTTGTAGACACCACACCTCCTACAACAACACCACTAATTAATTATGTTTTTTCAAGCTTGATTTTTATTACCCTCTTAATATATTACCCCCAATCCAAACATGCTCTTAATGGAAAAACAAATGCATCATATTTAATTTAATTAGAAAAAAGAGTCAAATCTACTTGAGACTTTTAGGTTACAATATTGGAGTAGTAAATTTTTGGGGAACTAGAATATTAGAATCAAATAAATTAAGGTCACACTTCTTACTTTATTTTTCGGAAATAAGTTCACTTTTATATAGTCAACCAAACAATTTTCTTAGTACCATCAAACAACCACTAGAATTATGGAGTACCTCTAGATATCATGCTCTTTGTTTCATTGTTTGAAATATCCTCGACTTTTTCCACTTTCATTTTAAATTAAAGTTGTTTAACAAAATCCGTGGAAGAATATCCTTAGTGTTTAGCAATTGAAAATCCGCATTATAACTTAAATAAGTTTCAATTCTATGCACTTAATCAGAATTTCATCCTAAAATGTAAAAAGACTAAAAACTTAGTATGAGTAATTAGCTAGTAATGACTTAAGAGTAATGTCACATACTTTACTTTTTTTGGTGTTTAGAAAGCCACAAGAACAGGTGATGAGAATCGATCCCAAAATCTCCTGGAATCGGGAGGGAAACTTTAACCACTTGAGCTATCCCTCACTCTCACGTCACATACTTTAATTAAGTGGCTGAATGTTTTGGTCTAATTAACATATATTGTAAATAACAGCGCTAATTACTACGTACATATTAAACAGGTCATACATTGATGCAAGCATAATCAACCAGATTCATTCATATTCTAATATTTCTAAATTACAACGATTTGTTTCATGAAATTTTGATTTTCAAAAGCATATCAGAAATTAAGGATAGATACACATGCACTATATACTATGCATTCAATGTATTGACAGCACAATTGTCATCATGCTGAGGTTATGAGATCAGAATAGATTTCAATCTATGTTATATATATATATATAGTTGTATGTAATACTTCTATGTTCATAGTACATACATTCATCAAATAATCAAAGTATCAAATAAAATAATAATCAAACAAATTAAAGTTTTTATTTGTTAGTTCAATAATGAAATTCTTAACAATTAGTGTTTTAGTTTATATTTTGCTTAGTATTGTAAGCCATGGAGTCGAAGGAGGAAGCCAAAAGTTTAGGCCAACAGAAGAAGATCTAGAACTTGAAAGGCAAGTCAATAGCTTGAATAAGCCACCCATACAGAGCTTCAAGGTTTAAATTCTTCTTTAATTTCTTTAATTTATCCTTCTTGGATTCAAATTAATTTAAACCTTTATTTTGCAATTAGAGATGATAATGGGTCGGGTCTGCCCAGACCCAAACCCCGGCCCTTTTTTTAGGTGGACCCAAATCCAACCCAAACTCACTGGGTCTAAAATTGTCAAACCCAGATCCATTAGAATTAGTCAATCAGGTTTTGGGTCTAAAGTGGGTCCATTAAGATTTATGTAAAAAAAAAAAAAAAAAAAAGTTTGTCAAAATAAGACTTAATACACTTCATCTAACGACCTTTTTAATCCATTTATCATTTTTATTAATAAAATTGCACAAACTCTCTTCCACACTAATATTATTAGTTATCTTCCTTCCCCTATTTAACAGAACAAATTTGGTGAAATAATCGATTGCATCGATATCTACAAGCAACCCGCTTTTGACCACCCATTGCTTAAGGATCATAAGCTCCAGGTATATTGTCCATTCATATATATACGTATTATTATATACTTTTCCAATCATATATAATAACGTTGGACTAATTGAAATTTGTTGGTCATCAAATAGATGAGACCAAGCTCTGTTCCCAAAGAATTGAAGTTGAGAAGAGACGATAATAGAAAAAATAGTAGACAAAATAATCCAATAAGTGAATCTAAGGTGTGTCCTTATGGAACAGTCCCTTTCAAAAGGGTTACAAAGGAAGATTTGATAAGGGCAAAAACAACTTTAGCCCTTAGTCCAACATTACAACATGCACCAAACCCACATGTAAGTACTCCGTATTATATATTGTGACATAGCACATACTTTAAGCGGCGCGCTACATACAATAACCCCCTAATTGTTCGGGTTGTTATTAATAAATACGACGTACTTGTGATTGTTTATGCAGTTCGCAGGGGTTACTACGCCAACAGATGATCCCTCGAAACAGCTATGGGGAGCGGCAACTGATATCAGTGTATATAACATAACAGATCAAAAGGGCCAATATAGCCAGGCTCTACTCTGGGTTGGAACTGGCATTAGTGGTCCATATAACAGTATCGAATACGGGTGGACTGTAAGACATTTTATGTTACATGCCTTTGTATCACAACTCGTGTATATGTAATTGCGAATAATTTGTTTTAAATCATATCTCGATTTCAATTTGTAGGTAAATGAAGGACTGTACGGAGATGGTCTATCGCGAACCTATAGTTTATGGACAGTAAGTATTTCTACATAGTTTAGAAATTTATTGGGCTAATTTAATTGATATCTCTAGTCTAATTTATGATTAGTGTATATACGAAGTATGATAATTATATTGGACATTTTATTTGACGTTGTTAGTCGGATGGTCTTCAAAGTACGGGATGTTACAATGCACTTTGTCCAGGATACGTACAAGTGAGCCAAAAACGGATAATGGGCGAAGCTAATCATCCAGTTACTATTCCGGGCGAAGACGTCTATTCAATGGAATTTCAGATTTTCAAGGTATAATTTCAGGAGAAAAAAAAAAAAATCCGCCTAACATAATATTATTCAAGGAAAAAGTTAAACGTAATTGTAGACACATAATAGTGTATTCTAAGTAACAATGTATGTAACATACGTACTAACGAACAATCAAATAATGTAATGTAGGATCCAAATACAAGCAATTGGTGGCTTTTCGAGAACTTAGGCGATGAAGCTCATGAACCAGTAGGTTACTGGCCAAAGGAGCTATTGCCGAAGATGTCAAGTTTTGCATCAGTAGTGCAATTAGGAGGAAAGGTTTCGAGTCCTAACGACGTGCCTAGTCCGGCTTGTATGGGTTCCGGTGTTTTTATACCAGATGATTTCACAAGAACTTGTTACGCTTCTAATATCCAATTTGTGAATTCTAAATACGAGTTTTACGAACCAAAAGACGAAAAAATGCTTGTGATTGGTGATGCTCCTGATACATACCAAGCTGCATACCTAGGAGATGCAAGTAAGGATCATCCTGGAAGAGGGTATACACTAGTGTTTGGAGGACCTGCCATTAGGTAGATTGGGCTACAGCATTAATTAAGTATGGTCTTTTAGCGAAGTAAGCTAATTATATATAAATAAGTTTTGGTAGACAAGCTGAATTATCGTATATTTATATTATATAAGCTTTTCAAATGTTATAAAATGGAGATGAGTAAAAAAAAATAAAAAAATTATGGACGTTTTATGGTCTTTTAGCTAAGTAAGCTAATTTTATAAATAAGTTTTTTGTAGACAAGCTGAATTTTCATCTACATCAAATGTTCAAATTGCATAGTTATTCTTCTTTAATGAGCCTATAAATACAATTGGACAACCATCCTCAATTTATTTAGAGTTGTCGGGCCTACTACGTTAATTGAATTAGATTACTAGTAAAATCTGTTTTTATAAGATAGCATCAATTTCAATCAATAAAAGTCAATTTGTTGCACTCATAATCTCATATAGCAAAAATATTAGTTGAAGCTTTTATTAAAAAAAAATATATACATATGTTTGATTAGTGTATTTTTTTGATTGGAAACGGATTCGATTAAATCGATACCGTTACCAAGTATATGGTTAGAAGGTTTGGTATTACCTAAGGGTAATGGTTACCTCTCATTTGTTATCTCTCAAAAACTTAGGGTAACAAATACCCTTACCCTCCCCAAACACAAACAAAGGAAGTAAATTTTAACCGATTCCTTTCCATGGTCAAACCAAACAAATGAAAAAGTAATAGTTAAATGATTCCTTTCCCTCTTCTTATTTGTTTCCTTTCCTTTCCATTTCTATTATTAGAACCAAACACCCCCATAGTGTATATTAGTTGAAGTCCTTGAATGGAAATGTACTTCCTATGTTGCAGCTTAATTTTAAATCCACAAATTTTTTTATGTGGCTGAACACACTGTGTGGTCGGGGTTATTTATAGGGATTACTTATTCTAGAGTTATTTATTGCGGGATTATGTATTCCGGGTTACTTATTTAGGGGTTATTCAGTCGGTCAAGGGTTACTTATTCTAGACTTACTTAGTCGATTATCGTGTTTTTTGTGAGAGAGTAACCCCTGAATAAGTAACCGTGACCAATCTAGTAACCCCAGAATAAGTAACCCTAAAATAAGTAACCACTATAAGTAACCCCGGCCACACAGAAAAGCATCTTCTAAAATCACATTCATACACGTATAATCAATTGTAACATAAGAAGTATAATATAGAATATAACTTAAATTCTAAATCAAACTCCATATTCAGATTCAAATTCAAATAGACTTTTATATAATTTAGTTTAGTTTCTATAAAAATAAATTGGACGTTATCAATTTCGTCAAAAAAAATTGGACGTTATCTAGATATTTCCCTAATATGTTGATATCTCTCTTTAATTCAATCAACGATTTCCTACCAATAATGAAGATACTGCAACTGATTTTAATTGAATTAAATATTAGATTGATAATTCAATTAGCATATGACGCACTAAATTATTAATTCACATTAAAAGTACTTTAGAAATAATGCGTGGTTGGTGCACCCGGATACGGTGCACCTAGAAAGAACATTAGGCATGTTTTAAAGAACATGAGCGAAAAAAAAGAACATTATAAACGTTTATAAAAAACGCGAGCAAAATATATTATTTGAGTTTGTTCATTATATTCTTTGAGTTTGAACTATATGTTCTTTATATTATACTTTAATGTATGTACATAAATTCAACCACCTGAGTAACCATGAAATAGAACTTGTTCTTTAATGCATTATCATATTCTTTTTGTAAAGACTTTATGTTCTTTGTAATGTAGAGGTGATCATTGGACGGGCCGGGCCGAAACCTAAAAAATTAGCCCAGTTCTCGGGCTGGCCGGGGCGAGCCAAAATTCGGCTGAAATTTTTGTGCCCAAAATGGCTGGGCCGTGCAGGCTTTTCGGGCCGAGCCAAAAAATCAACTAAAAATGCATACACATTTCCAAACCCACCCAAAAAAATAAATTTCGGGTCGGTTGGACTTGGCCCAATTTCAGGTCGAAAAAATCTGCCCAAAGCCCGCCCAAAATCGAGTTGGGTCGAACCGAGCTAAGTATGATCAGGTCTTGTTCTTTGTCAAACACAAACATGTTCTTTTGTCAAACACAGGTATGTTCTTTTCAAACACTACTATGTTCTTTTTTTCATCCATGTTCTTTAAAATATGACTAATGTTCTTTCCGGATGCACCATGCGCATGGTGCACCCGGGTGCACTATACTATTTTCACTTTAGAAATGCCAAAATCGTATTCTCGCTCATATATGGTATTGAGATGTCATTTTAAATATATATTGCTATGCACCTTTACCAGTTTACCACATCAAATGCAAAAATACTCCAGAAATTATATTCATGGCCATGAAATTCTTAATTAATATTCTTTTACTCCTAATCTTTCTTCTTACTGTAAGTCATGGTGCTGAAGAGGGAAGCAGAAAATCAAGACTCAAAAAAAAAGATATAGAGCTCGATAAGCAACTCAACATCTTGAATAAGCCCCCCATTACAAGCTTCAAGGTCAAAAGCTAATACTCCATTCTATTAACTTTTTCACCAAACTAGGTTCGGTCTAGTTGTAAGGATTGTTAGCCCTCATGCCTCATACTCGTAAAAAAAACATTTGTGTTTACCTAGTTTACAATAGTATTAGTATACATTGAAAAGGTTTTAGGTAAGTTAAGGTGATATTTGTTTGAAACAAAGTTAAGGTGATTTTGAACTGGCTGCCTTTCGTGATTTTCTTCTTTCGTGAAGAGAAGTGGTAACTGTTTGCACACGAATTAGCTAAACTTAGTTCCTCTTTTGTTGATCTTAGAGTTTAGATGGAATAGGTTCCTAGTGGAATTTCTGACTTTGTAATGGCTGATTTAGCCTCTTTGACGGGGTAATAAATTGGTGTGCTCGTTTCCTAAATAAAAAATAAAAAAAAAAAAAAGAAAAAAGAAAAAAAAGTGACTTTGAAATTGATTCGGCTTTAATATAAATAAATCATAAAATAAGTTTTATAAGGATGTAACCTAGCTAACTTTACATACCGAGATTTGATTTACTTTCTTTTTTTATATCAGAGTAACTTTAGTACAAATGTACTACTTCTATTGTACATCCAATCCATTTATTTAACAGTTTATGATTAGCTATTTAATGATATTAAAATTCCCATAATTTGATGACAATGATAAAAATTGTATATTAATATGTGCATGAACAAGATTTTCATGCATGAAACTTACATTTCAATCAAGTAGCAATTGCCCCCATTATTCAATATACAAAGTAACAATTTTTTTGCCTTTATAATAGATCAAAGATGGTGAAATTATTGATTGCGTAGATATATACAAGCAACCGGCTTTTGATCACCCATTGCTCAAGAATCACAAGCTTCAGGTATATATGCACGTTTAATTCATTTGTTGTTGTTTTTTTTTTTTTCACTGATTAAGCATAGCTAACAAAACTAATTATGTTCATGAATAAAAAGAGGAGACCTAGTTTTATACCAGAAGAAAAAAGAGTGAAAAGAGCAAGCTCGAGATTAGATAGACGACAATATAATCAAGGGGAATTTAAAGGGTGTTCTCATGGAACAGTCCCTTTTAGGAGGGTTCAGAAGGAAGATTTGATCAACGCAAAAGCAATTCGTGATCTTCGTCGTCCAAGAACTGTTAATTCAACATTAAGGCTCACGCCTGAAATGCATGCAAGTATGTTCAACTGTACGATATCCATTAAATCAGATACAGAGTGCAGAGTATAGTACTAACTTTGCTAGAGATTTTAACCTTATTGATTCGAATGCTCCAAAGTATGCAGCATTGACAATTCCAGATGATAAATCCAGAAAGATAGAAGGAGCATTGACATTCATCACGGTATACAACTTATCAGTCCAAGCACCCCAATTAAGCGAGGCTCTACTATGGATTGGTTCCGGTGTTAGTGGTTCATATAGCAGTGTAGAATATGGATGGACAGTAAGTTTCAATATCAATTTAATCTCTCTGCATACTTACATTAGGAAAATGATATTCTGTCCAACTTTCATTTATAAATTTTTTGTCTCTTGTTTTGCGGGTAAATCCGCAACTGTATGGGGATAGTCAATCGCGAACTTATAGCCAGTGGACTGTAAGTTTGTTTATTAAAATGTTGGGGCACTCGCTAGAAAATCTCATTTAAAAATATCATACAAATAGAAAGTGGTGCTAAGATATAGTAAGATTAAATTCCGTCTATATTATTTGCCCATTTATGTTAAAGAAAGAAGCAAAAACCGTTCATGGCAATAAGATTAAGAGCATAGTCAACAGATTATCAATAATAGCACACAAACTATGCAACTAAGCCAAGAAAATACGAAATATAAAAGAACAATAATGAGCGACTGAGCCAAGCAAGCCTGTTTAAGTTTGCCAGACCAAGCCTAAGTAACTTTGACCCAGGTTCCCGGCTAATTAACCAAATCAACTCAGTTGTAGCTCTAGATTCTATACTATACGACTATACTAACACTAACCATTTAACATTCCATGATATATATGTGATTATTGGAAAAGAAAAAAAAATTGTGTCGGATTTCAGGCAGGTGGTTTCGAAAACACATGATGCTATAACTCACTTTGCCCAGGGTATGTGCAAATAAGTCCAAGATTGCCAATGGGTTCAACAAGTAATCTTGTTTCGACCTATGGGGGAAAGTCCTATGGCATGGATATCAAGATCTACAGGGTAATATCTTCAATATAATCTAACTTGTTTTCTACTACACATTTTACACATACTTTTGAGTAGAATCTCATCCATTACTAAAATTGTCTTACAGGATCAAAAGACAAGCAATTGGTGGATTATTGAAAACTTTAGTGACTTAGAAAAAGAACCAATAGGTTACTGGCCAAAAGAGTTATTTCCAACACTGGCGGATTCTACTACAGTACTGCAATTAGGAGGGAAGGTTTATAGCCCTTCAAACATCCCTAAACCAGTTCCAATGGGATCAGGAGTCTACGCAGCGCATGATCTCACCAGAAGTTGTTACGCTTCCAAACTTGCTTACATGGATACGGACAGAGAGTTTTACTTACCAACAAAATTGCCCATTCAAGTGATTGCTGACAATCCTGATGTATACAAAGCAGATTACTTGGGGAAGATAGATGATGACAATGGATATACCCTGTTGTTTGGGGGACCTGACCACATTGGTTGGAATTTTATGTATGATCAAGAACTAAACTTGTCTAGTCTGTTACCAAGCTAAGATTTAATCCTAAATCTGAATATAAATAAAGCCTGATCGCTTTTACTCCAATATCAGAAGTCTTCTCACAGGGCATATCCTCATATGTAAGCCTATTCAGTGTACGGACATAGGATGTACTCCCTTTATCCCTATATAATACCCGGTATGTCCCATAATCTCACATTTGATTGAGTATCATGTTTATGGAGATGAGTAATCTAATCCATGATACAAGTATTATTTTGGCTAATATAACATGTAGAATTTTGACCATTTTGCAAAACTTAACCTATTAAGATGTACTTGGAAGGATGTGCTCTTACTAAATCCGCCAACAATTTTAGAGGAAACAGTGTGTCTGCCCTGATTGATTGTTGCAATATAGTTGGAAGCCTATGCTTACAAGAGCAACCACTTCAGTCCTCAGGGATGGTAGAACCATCTACCTCCCATTTAGTCATGGGTTTGAGTACGGTCAACCCCCCCGCCCCCCACCATCACCCCACAAGCAGGATTTCCCATTTCCCCGACCTACAAGCACAAAGAAAGAAATCTTTTCAATAACAGATTTTTTGTTATCCTATTTTGAGCCAGTTTAAGTTTAATCATACACTATTCTACCTCGGCATCCTTTTGGGATTAAAGCTTTGTGGTTATTGTTGTATTCTACCTCGGAAGTATTTGACTATATGTGTCTCAGTCACAAGAGTGGTTGAGCTTAAGATACAGCACTAATGACCATACATCTAACATTGTAACCAATCTCTAAGGCCCGCTTTTAACCATGATCGTCAATAGCACAAGAACAAGTAGTAGGTTAGAAGGATCATGGAGGGATGGTTAGTCCCTCCATCTCCACCCGGTGTGACCAGGGTTCGATCCTCACCCCACCCCTCCTGTGACAGGAGGAGCACCCCCGTTACTTACCGTATAAAAAAATTAAAAAAAAAAAAGGTTGGATGGAGGACTTATTTTGGCTAATCTTTCTGTTTTTGGTTTTCTTTTAAATCACTTCCCTCGTCCCACAAAACAATTCTCATTTATCTCTGTCCCACAAAAGTGAACATTTCTCGTAGGCGCATTGTTTTATAATAGACTACTTTTCCATGTTACTCCCTTCGTCCCTCAATAAAATTCTGCTGCCAATACTCTCCTAAAACTATGGAGAGGGTAAAGTGAAAAACTATGTTTTTAACTTTTTCTTTTCCACTTTTTCCTTGACATACACAACATCAGTTCAAGTTCACATACCTCTAAGTACTATGTCAAGGAAGAATTATAATCAATAGCTACAAATTCTGACTTTAACACAAAGACTTGTTCAATGCTCCAAATCAAATGATTGAAAAGGAGAAAAATGGAGAGATTTGGAAGATATTAAGCTACTCTATTAGTGATACTGCCGGCCACTATCAACCTACAGTAACGCTTTTATTGTCTAGTTCCTGTCAATTTAGTGCACCCTTGGCCCGGCCATCTTTATCAAGCCTGCGGTTATCAAAGTGCTACCACCACAACTTTAACGACTTACAATACCATTTTAATTGCGGGGTGCCTCTATTTCTGACAATATAATTTTTTTTCTTAAATCAGGCTAAATAGACTAATTGACTGTCACATTGTCACCACTGTCAATTACTCGAATATTTTTGAAGAAAACGATATTATCATTAATAATTACTCCCCCAAGATGTGATAGGTAAAACACTAAGGTTTTTCAATAATGTCAAAAGTGTGAAAACTAGATACGGCTTTTTTGGTATACTTGGGTACTAATTTAGAGAGCTCAACGATTAAGTTAAACTCTGTAGTACTTCCCCATCCTTAATTAAAGTTTACAGCTTATCTTGACAGGTTTATCAAGAGAACGAAAGTAGTGTGAACTGTGGACACATATAAAGTATAAACAAGCAAAAAGATACCCAAAAAAAAAAGTAATTACAGAGCATATTTTGGTGTTTAGGGGATTGGGGGACAATTATGAGCAATTATTAGCCTAAAGTATATTCTTCACAAATTCCAGCTCTTACTCATTTCAACAACAAAGTAATCGAACAGTTTTTCTTACTTATTCATTTCGTAGACTTCACCCAAAATCTTCAAGTGTTCATTAAAAAATTATAATGTGTCTTATAGTATGAGATTCATGATCCTTTTTCTAGGAAAATAGAAAAGATCTTAACCAGGTTCTAACAGGTCAGATAATCTTTTGACACTCCATTAGTAGGACCAACCAGGCAACCATGAATGATAAACTAAAAATCAAAGGCAAGGTCGAATAATCAAAGAATAAATAATCTTTTTGCACTCTCATTTGATTCTTGACATGTTTACAAGAAAACTAAAAAGAAATATCCTTTCTTTTTCATAGTTCTTTATTAATTTTTGGTGTAAAAAGGAGGGAAACGATGTTCTTTATAGATTTTTGGTGTAGAAAGAAGGGGAATTATCTACAATAACCTCAATTGTATTATAGATCATTCTCTTGCTATAAAGTGTGATCATTTTGATAAATAGTCTTCACTACAAAGTTACCATAGATAATTTCTCTCAAGTGATCGTAATCATCAAAAGATTGGAATGAAAGGGATAATAGTAATACGACTAGTCAAATGAGATAGTCCACAAGTGTAGATTGAAAGACAAAAAGAGAGGGTCTTTAGTACTATGACCTGTTAAAAGTCACCACACTATGGCCCCTTAATAAGTGCGTTTGTCCAAAAAATGCATTTAAAGTGGGGCTATGCTTTATAATACTTCCAAACTAAGCAATACCCTCAATAAAACAAAACAAACTCCTAAGGAGTATATGAGTAATGAAAAGCAATAGTAGTAAGCAAATAATATGAAAGCAAAGCACAAAACCAAGACAGTTTGAAGAAGTTACCCAAAGAATGCAGTCAACTTCAACAAGGGAGGTCACAGAATTGTGCTTCCATGGTTGCTGCCCAACTCCTTTCTTCACTCTAAATGAAGCTGATAAATCCACTGCTGCTAAACCAAGAAATTCTTCGGCCGAAAACCGTCGCACTTTTGCTTCCACCACCTCTTCCTCTTTGTTCCCTAACACTGAGTTTAACAACCCTGACTCCCTTCCATCCCTGCAAGAAGCATTTGATCAGTTCATCAGAACCTACCCAAACTACACCGAGACTTACCAAATTGATGAAATACGTGCTCAAGAGTACTACAATCTTTCCCTCTCTAACCATGTATGCCTTGATTACATTGGCATTGGCCTGTTCTCTTTCTCACAGCTTCACAACCAGCTTTCTCTCACATATCCTTCAACATCATCTTCACCCCCTCCATTGCGGCCCCACAGCTCAGACTTTCCGGTCTTCCACTTATCGTATAAGTCAGTAAATCTGAAGAACCACTTGCTTGAAGGAGGAAATGAATCGAGATTGGAGTCTGCAATCAAGAAGAGGATCAGGGAATTCCTCAACAATAGTGAAGATGATTATTCTGTAGTTCTGACAGCAAACAGAACATCAGCCTTCAGATTAGTTGCAGAGTCATACCCTTTTGGGTCTTGTAAGAAGCTCCTCACTGTCTACGATCATGACAGTGAGGCAGTAGATACAATGATTAATAGCTCAGAGAAGAGAGGAGCTCAAGCAATGGCAGCTGAGTTTACATGGCCAAGGTTAAGGATTCACTCATCAAAATTGAGGAGTATGATTACCAGCAAGAGAATGATCAGCAAGAAAAGAGGGCTTTTTGTTTTCCAGCTTCAATCAAGAGTGACAGGTGCTAGATACTCTTACCAATGGATGAAAGTGGCACAAGAACATGGATGGCATATCCTTCTTGATGCTTGTGCTGTGGGACCAAAAGACATGGATAGTCTGGGACTCTCTCTCTTCCAACCAGATTTCTTAATATGCTCTTTCTACAAGGTTTTTGGGGAGAACCCATCTGGATTTGGGTGTCTCTTTGTCAAGAAATCGGCTATTTCGATCCTGGAAACTTCAACTACTGCTGGAATTGTAAGTATTGTCTCAGCAAGGAAGTTATTTTACCTGCCTGAAGAATCTTCTGGCACTGAAACAGAGTTTGAACAAGAACTTGAGTTGGGCTCATCATCATTCAATTCCTTCTCTGGTCCAATATCCATCCAAGCACCGACAATGGAAAAAGGGGAGTCCTCTACGTCAGTAAGGAATAAAGATACTAGAGTGAAGATCAATGGACAAAAAATCTCAGAAATTGAAGTGATAGATGAAGCTAGTGATATTTTTGTTGAGCGACGAAGCACGGTAATCAGCAGAAAAAGGAATTCACTAGTTGAATGTAGGTGCTTGGATCATATTGATGCATTGGGGCTCTCACTGGTAAATAGTAGGAGCAGGTACCTTGTCAATTGGCTCATTAATGGTTTAACAAAGCTCCAGCACCCAAATGCAGAAAGGGCAGTTCCCTTGGTAAAAATATATGGGCCAAAGATAAAGTTTGATCGAGGACCAGCCTTGGCTTTCAATGTGTTTGATTGGAAAGGCGAAAAGGTTGAGCCTATTCTAATACAGAAACTTGCTGATAGGAAAAGCATATCTTTAAGCTATGGTTTTCTGCATCATATTTGGTTTCCAGAAAAGTATGAACAACAAAAGGCTAGTGTTCTTGAGAAGAGAAGATGTGAAGCAAAGGAAAACCCAGGAAACAAAAAGAAAGGAAAGGAAAACCTAGGTATAAGAGTAGTTACAGCTGCATTCGGATTCATTGCCACATTTGCAGATGCTTACAAGCTTTGGGCTTTTGTAGCTCAGTTCTTGGATGCAGACTTTGTGGAGAAAGAGAGATGGCGATACACTGCCCTTAATCAGACAGCTGTTGAAATCTGAACGGCGGGAATTCTTAGTCCAATAATCAATTTTCCAGAGTTTTCGGAATCATGAGGTCACCAATGCTTACAGGTGAAGCATACCGAGGTTCATAGTGTAATTGAATCAAGGATCTGTAATCTCCTTACCTTTTTGACAGCACATTTTATACGAAGTATATGCCATTATTGTACATCTCACTTCACAATCTAGTAAAATTCCTTTCATTATATTCATAATAGAACAAAACGTACCTGCTGCTTCTTACAGCTCTCTGATTAGCATATTCCCTTCAAATTGTCAGCATTTCAGGTAGAATTTCCAGCCCAATCATTTCCCTTCAGCGTTTGAACATCAGTCTTATCTGATACAGTTTATGTTTTACAAGACATTATTACAGTTGAATAGCATGAAATCTTTGTTTATGTAGTATTTTTACCATAAAAGCACTACCAGTGGTACAAACAAAAAATTGCCTGTATATTATGATGAATAAAATGATAATATCTTACTAGACATATAACGTAAACATATGCAAACACAACAAAGCCATGTCAGTAAATGCCAGCACACTCTGCATGAAATGTCTGGTAAAGAGTGAATTGTAAGGAACAAGAGTAAATTAGACTCCAAGTAACAGCTTTGACGAGTCAATCTATGATTTTGTAATATTTGGTAAGGGTAAACTGTAAAAGTAGATGGAGATTAACCTACTCTCTTTGAGGGCAGATTTGTTTAAGAGTCCAAAATGCGCAACAAACCCATAAATATATATTATTTACCTTATGGCTTATGCTACATTATAAAGCAAAATGCATGCCTATCGTTCAATAAAATTTTATAAAATCCAACTAGCTAGGTGTTAATCAACTGAACACATTTACAGAATCTGTTATTTGCTCTGAGCTAGTTCCATGTCAAAAATACTAATATAATCTACTTTTATAGAAATTATTGTACGCTATCTAATACGAGTATCTGTTAACCGCCAAACAAGACCTGTGATTACCATACTCAGCATAGTTATATGCAATGTTTAGGCTACAGTTAGTTGATTATCAAAACTTTTGATTAGTGATGGTGGATGATGACTTTAAAGAAGCTGTGGGAAACAGAATAGGTTATAACTCATAACTCAATGACCGGTGTCCTCTAGCCATAGACTAGATAAAACAGAAGCCATCTAATAAAGCGACATCTAAAGCTTTATGTGCAATCTTATAGCTTGTAAGTTGTAACTTTTAGATGACTAACTGATAGTTTGGATGCAAAACCAGGGTAGGCAGTGTGCTGCTATAAATTCACCAAACCATGGAAGAATACTTCTATGCGGTATAATAAGCATTAGAAAATAGAAGCTACAGTTTCCTTAAATGTGGCCTTCATGTTCTGTTCATTCTCTGCAATCAAGTCTGCTAAGAATAAGCTCTTCATATTATTTTCCAGTTGCACATTGCACTTCCTATGAAGCTAACATGTTAAGGTCGTCTCTGTACTTCTCAGGAGTCAGAAAGCTAATTAGTTGAGGTATCCCAAGGAATGATAAGAAAAGTAGGTACTAAACATCAGCCAATCCAAAAAAAAAAAAAAAAAAAAAAAAAGAAGTTTGAAATTTTTTTTTTTTTTTTTGTAGCTCTGGATAGAATGCTTAGTGTGACAAGCAGAGTGAGATAAACAGCCTAAGCTGCTAAGTAAAACTAGAACTTTATAACCTTAAAACTAATATCTCACATGAGCCCCAAGCCAACCCATGAATGTTCTCAGAAGCTTCTTTGTGATACTAAGATCATAATCACGTTGATATAAGGTGAAAAATAAACACAACACGCAACTACAAACAGTTAACACCAGTGAGAAAAAGAGAGTTCTCGGCCATAGGCTTCCAGTAAGCAGCACATAATTGATGATAAACTAATACGGACTAATAGAGCTGTCAATAAGTCTATGCTAAGTAGAGCTGGAATTTCTAAAGCTTACCCTGAGTTAAACTATTGATGTTGTTAAATAAATCAGCAATTATATTGGACACACCTAATTATTCGTACTTCTAAATTTTGTAAAGATGTTGGTAAGTTGTTTAAAATTGATCAGGATATCCAGGATGTTAATGATATATGAACTTTGAAGCCCCATGAAGGCTTCAGTATGTGAGTATGTCTAGTTCCTTCGGAAGCAATTCCCTTTTCCTCCAAAACACAAAAGCCAGATATAGAACTAAGTGTTCATTTGACAGGAGAAGGCACAAGAGTAACATAGCTGTCAAATATGATATATGACATAATGCTGAGGAAAGCAGGACTCTCGAAACAAAAACTAATAAGTACGAAAAAGCTCCAAACCTACCATAATGCCTACATAACAAAATTAGTAATATAAATGGATAAAGTAGCATAAATGCATAATATAGATCAGGCTGCTTAAGACAAAGGAACCTGTGTAATGGTGGGTCTGAAACCAACGGACCAGTACGAACTGAATTATAAATTTCTGGCATGCTTCACTAAATTCCCATAAGATTTGACAAAGCACGAAAAAAGCGACCTTTACACGATCTGCTGGTGTAAGATACCAATCAGCCAATCAAACTACAAGGTAGCAACTCTCATCAAACTGTGAATTCTAGTAGTCATGACTTCTTATAGTATCAACAACATTACTAGTCATACATTGGTCCAAAAAATGTGTAATACTTGAGAAACCCAGATACAAAAGACAAACCTAGACTTATGAGCAATTTAATTTTATTTGGCGATAGCAATGAGAGTTAGTTTCATTGACATAGGCAAACAAGTGACTACTAAATTTGTATATTTGGTCTCATTATTCTCTTTGGTTGTAACTTGTAAGACAGTCTCAAAGGGTGACTTTCAAAAGTAACTTGTGAGTTATTTGGCTCTTTGCTCTCTCAGGTTGTAAGAGAACTAGTATAGAAAGACGGGGTAACTTTCATGAATAACTTGCCAGATATGAAAGGATAGTTTTCGAGAAATGAGGTGACATTTTCCGTCTCATGCTATAATTGCCTAGAATTTAAACACCAAATGACTATGACCAGGTAAAAAGACCGTAATGCAAATTTTTGAAGAGGAAAACAACCACCTGATAACATCAACAAATCAAAAATCCCATCTTTATTAACACTAATCTTAGGGTCCTTTGAAATGACAAAAAGAACAAGAATTCCACAACATCAATTAAACAACTTTTCATATAAACCACATTTCATCAAATAAAAAAAAATAAAGAAAGAAAAATATTTGATAATCATAATAAAAGAGGAACATTATCACACCTACCCAATTAACCTCATAATGCCAGCTGATGGTGAAACCCACTTTAAAGAAGAAACCATGTGGCCCAACAGCAGAAGACTTCTCTCAGGCATTTTATCAAACAGTTGGAAGACTCTACCAAAAATTCCTTCAAAAAATCAAGTTCCAATATGTAAATGCCACCAAAATAATACAACAGTAGTTCAAATTAACAGCATTTGAAATTTCCAAAATCTGGGTATTGAAACATCAGCATTAATCCAGATTCTCTAAATTCATGCCCATCAAAAGAGACAGTAACGTTTAATACTATATTTCTTCAAATGGAAAGAATTGGCATCACATAATTAGGTGATCACATTGAAGAATGACGTCATAATATATATATTGAGAAGATAGTGGACAAAAATATGAGACAAATTGTACGAAAATCTCAAGTAATAAAGCTGTGTTATTTAGAACATCATGAAGTAAGAACTGCATTTTGAGGGCAGACTCAAAAAACTGAAAATCAAGTGGAAGCATAATTGTAGAGTTCTCACCTTGGAAGTTTAGGCTAATCCTAGCTTCATGGTTGAGTATTTTTGTTTTTCCGACAAAGAGAGTCAGACTAATGATATAGACGGAATTTGATCTCGAGTGTGTAAATGGGTAACACTTGTGGTTGTTAGGAGCCTTTGTGGTTAATTTCATCCAAAAAAAATGATTGAGTAAAAATGTAAAATAATGCATGTTAAAGTATTGCTAATAGTTGGGTCCTTGGGTTGATTTTAACCCACGTATGGCAAATTGGCAACCTTCTATGCATTGTACTAAACTAACTGACCAATGACTCAATTAGGCTCGGTTCTAATTAAAGTTGAGCATGGGTCAGGTTATGTAGGCTTGTGTATTGTGCTACCGTGCCTTACGCTAAATCAGGTTATATCTGTGACAAATTAAATAAGTCTTGTTGTATAGGATTCGTGCTTAATATAATTTAATATATTACCTCCGTTTCTTATTATGTGCAACAAAAGAATATTTTATACGAGTATCTCACATATAATGCCCATTTATTGCACATAATAAGAAACTGATGGAGTAGAATATATGGTTAAATGGTCAATATTAAATAGGCTTACACAAGGGTTAGTTAGCGGTGCTCATATTAAATTTTGATAATGATGCTCATGCTCATCTTTTGACCATTTGGCATACCTCTCATGTCATGCCAAGCTTCTAGCAAGGTAATACCCTATTGAGCTATTTTTGTACCATATCTAATTAACTCTCGTATTAGCCTAACCCCATAACCAACTCTAGTCCAAATAATGAGACCATCCCTAAAAAAAATCATATACTTTCTCTATTTTTTGTTTACTTGCAACAATTCTCTTTTCATGCTTGCCAATGTATTATTTTAATCGATAATATCTTTAAATACTAATGTATAAAAAATATAAACATTTGATATTAAATATTATAAATCGAGACGAATTTAACAACATCTCACATGATTATATTTTTTCTTAACTATAAATCACCAATGTTAGAGTATTAGACAGAGTGAAACAAATAAATACTGTAAAAATCAAACTGTTGTAAATATAAAAGCACCAGAAGAAGTAGGATCAAGGGGGCTATCATTAGATGCATTGTATATTTGTATCCATATTTGTCTATGAAAAATGACAGATAATTGTAAGGGATGCGTATGTAAAACTTAACTAATTAAAATATTAATTACATTAATCAATGTGTAATTTTATATGAGAGTGAGGGATAGCTCAAGTGGTTAGAGTTTTCCTTCCGATCTTGGGATCGATTCTCACCCCCGCCCTTTGTGGCTCTCTAAACACCAAAAAAATGAGTAATTGGGTATGGCTCAAATTTTATAGGTCTATTGTTTTGGTGGTTCGTAAAAGTTCTAGAATATCAGGGATACAAAAATGATTAAGGGAGTTCCGAAATATTCTAGCCATTTCTTTCAACCTCCATCTACAACTATAAATATT